ATGCTCATGGAAAAAAATTGTGGTTATTGGAAAAGGGGGCGTGGCACTTCCCATACAACCGATTTTTTCATACTGCATACCTCTGGAAGTGTTCACGATAGAGTACAGGAATTTGGCGATTAGGGTGTCCCTATCCTAAAATAATTTTCTCTATTTTTTCTTTTAGATCTTTTGGTATTTTTGTATGAAAAATCTAATATATAAAAATATCGTGTCACGGTGTTTGTGGTCGATTTCCTCCGAAACGGCGTAACCGATTTGAATGAAATTTGAAATTTGTGTATATTTCGTAGGTATGACAATAGGGTGTAAAGTATGTTTCATACCGCTAAGTGAAGGGGACGTGGCACCTCCCATACAAACCAAATTTTTCACACTTTATATCTCTGCAAGTGTTCATAGTAGAGTACTGGAAGTTGGTATGTCCAAGACATATAAAATCAAACGCATAGTCATGAAGAAAAATTTGAAAGAAGAAAAATTTGAAGAAAAAGGGGCGTAGCTCCTCCAATGCAAACCGAATATTTCACACTGCATATCTCTGGAAGTGTTCATGGTAGAGTACTTGAACATGGTATGGAGATATGAGAAATCACTCCCATACTCTTAGGAAAAATTGTGGCTATTTTATAAGGGGGTTGTGGCGCCTTTCAAATGGTACTGAAGCTATTACGTATCTTTGTATGCATATACAATTTTGCTAGGTTATTTAAGATGGTAATGGAAATATGCCTTCCGACAACCACCAAACCGTAATATTAGAAGATAAACGCGTCACTGAAAATCATGGACGTGAACTGTTGGTGAAAATGTTGTACCAAAATGTTTCAATACAAAAAATTAATTTTGGGCGGGACGAAGTTCGCCGGGTCTGCTAGTAATACATAAATATGTTGCCTTTGCATAAATATGTTTGCCTTTATTCAACAACTTACGCGCTTCCCACTATCTATTTACATACATGTATGTATGTACGCGTGTACCTTAAATTATTACATACAAATGTGGAGTATAATAACCGCGGCGTGTTTTCGCACGCTTTGATTTCCCATGCCTACATTTGTATATACATACATACATGCATATTTTGTTCATACATGAATGCTTTTATGGTTCGTTCACATTGCAAGTTTATCATTTTATCTATTTGAATTTTTTATACCTTTTTCACAATACATAGTTTCATAATGGCATAAACAATGAAAAAGTAAATGATGTTATGAATGCAGCTATTACAACAAAATAATGCTCGCTTTACAGCAGAGGGTGGGCATAAGAATTCATAAGCAAAAGCCGCATAATTGAAAAAAAAACGTATTCACACAATTAAATTGCGACATAAAGGCACAGACAGGTAACAAAAGAAACAAGCAAAAAAAGCGCAAAGCAAATTTGCACAAAATAAAAATAAAAAAAATATAAAAATAAAAACAGTATTACTCGTACTCGTACTATTATTACGTATTGAGTTGGTTGTTGCTGGGAATGTTGCACAATTTGATTTGCCAGTGAATGGCGCCCAGTTAGGAGGCAACGACCATATAAACCAGCAACAACTGTAGTTATATGAACCTATTTAGGTAGATATGTAAATGCATAAGTTCACACATAAATACATACAAATTACATACATACAAGCATAGATATATACCTTGATAGCAAAAAAGCGGGAAATCATTTAATGTTGGCGCTTACGCCTTTTAAGAGCGAAATAAACCAGACAAGCGGCTTGTCAAAACTAACTGAAACCTAGATTTTTTATTTCGCCTCGTTCAAGCACAGAATTTTAGTTTTCTTCCAATTCACAATGTAAAAAAGTTTAGACTTCTTCATTTTGCTCTCCCCCGTTGCGAATGAGGCGATTTCGCGGTTTTATAAAATTTTTTTATATTTTTGTTCAAGTTTTTTCAAGCGGGTTTTTCAAACCTTTAAGCAGCCCCCATACTCAACACAAATGGCTTGAAGTAAAAGCAGATTTCGCTTGCTTTGTCAAGCCACTTGCGTGGTTTATTTCCCCCTTTAACCTATTCAATTGCATGCCGCATTACAGCTAATGCGAGATAGTTTAGACAGCTTAAGACAATTTACACAACACACATATCAATGTTTAGCTACATACTTTTTTATATACGTATGCACATTTTCATGTCATGCTATCGACCCTTAATGTATGTTGATACCTCAGAATTTAACATAGAGGCCTAAAAGCTCGTTTCAAGCATTTATACCGACATGAGCCACTTATTAAATTTTAACTGCTTAAATAAGCACGAATGATTTCGCTAAATCCTTATGTGTGTAAGGGAGCGTAAAGTTTGCTTTTATTGCTTTATGCTGTTAGAATTTGTTTCTAATAGTTTTTAAGCTGTTTACGAATCTTCTTGTTACCGCTTATCAGCATGCACTCAAGTGTACCTGTTAACACTTAACTGTAATTGGTTATTAGAACCCTATTGATCTCAAATTGATATTTTTGTTTGTGTGACGCCCAACAATTTTCGCAATCTTCCTATCATATTCACCTTGTTTATTATTAAGTGTTTATTTTACAATCGAACTTCGCTTAGCTTGGCTATTTTGAAGCACACAACATGGTACATACATACACACATCAATACGAGTATGTATGATAACACAGAAGTGGACATTTGAAGTAACAACTTATTTGATTTTAGAAGTTATGTTTTCACAGGCAGAAATAATCAATTTTCATACAAAAATATTAAATTTGCACTAATCTTAAACTACAGCTTGGGTCAGCTCATACTTTAAATGTTGAATAGGAACCCAACGATTCAGCGGTTTTAAGAGAAAATGGCAAAACTGTATTTAAGTTGTTCTCCCAAATGTCCACGCAAAAATATAAATATATGAATTTGTACACGTAGTATAGTTACTATGTACTACAAACGAGTAACATAAACAACTCAACGCGTTCCTATAGCTTCTATGAATTTTGAAGCATGATATGCTCATAAAAATGCTCTATATGTATAAAACAGCTTATATGCTAAATGCAATGGCAAACGCTCGATTGAAAATCTCTAAGCTGCACTGTGAGAAATCTGTCTGCTGCTCATAGGTTGGCCAATTTATCTGCGATATTACTGTGACCTGGATCTCAAATAAACTTGCTAACGAGATGATCGGAAGCGACCGAGGGAGATATTAGGCATTCCCTGGCCGTTTCCGATCGTTTTAGCAAGGAGTTAGAGGCCTGATTGGCGGTTGGCTATATTTTATCCCCATTTCTGCTGCGCCTACGATTGTTGAAAAACACTGTAGTGAACCGTAAGCCTAAATTTGAAATTGGTGGAGAGTTCCTTGCAGAAGACACCTCACTCCATGGTTTTGACCCTTTTAATGTCCTTAGCTTAACGGCGGTGCGTGCGCGGGCAGCTTTGTCTACTATATACACGGACAGGTCTTTATACCCTCTTCTGCTGCTTAACGATGGTGACCTTATCCCATGTATTCCACCACACAAGAACAACAAATAGTAAAATTGGTTTAACAAGCAAAGAAGTATAAGTTCGGACGAAACCGATCCGTTTCTCTCTAAAAGAGCTTCGCTCCAACTATCAATACTATAGCCTCAGCATAGGCAACCACCCGACAACCGCGTTTCTCCAAAGTCTCCAAAGTGAGCGATGTGGGATACCCCTACACACTTCCTTCTGGAAGGAAGCGCTGTCCGACTCTACCCCAACTGTTATGTTTTATGTCGATTCCGACAATTAGTTTATTGAGATAACATATCATTGCCTCTAACAGAGCAACAAAGACCCTCGATATAAAGAAAAGCACTAAACGCATATTTTTTTACCAAAAGGACTCTACAACGGTCCTTGCTAATTTGCAGATAACCGATCTCTCCATCCTTCTTAAAGCTTAAACAGATGGCAGCGTTGATCCGGATTAACTCGGACTTAATCCGGATCAACTGCAGTTAATTCCCGATTTGGTCCGGATCAACGCTGCCGTCTGTTTAAGCTTTTATGTGCAAAGTGACCAGCCTCACAAGCGTATTTAGTAGATACGAAAAGAGAGTGATGGATTCGCAGACTTCTGCAGTAGGATGTGTATGATACCGTAGAAAGCTTGGTTTGTAAAAGCTTTAACAGACGGCAGCGTTTATCCGGATCAACTCGGACTTGATCCGGATCAACCGCAGTTAATTCCCCAGTTGATCCGGATCAACGCTGCCGTCTGTTTATGCTTTAAGAGTCGATAGCCCATTGCAGGATATGTTCATCTATTATAGTCTATCTAAGAACTGCATTTTTTTTTTCAGTGTACACGCCTGACTGCTTGGCTGCCCAATTCTTCTGACTCAGCAGCTAAAATCACTATTATTATGCGGCTGACGTTAGCTTTGCGGTTGAGTGCTGTTATGTCTATGCAGAAAAATGCAACAGGAGCAGCAGCTGCATAAACATCAAAAACAAAAGTGAATGCGTGTAAGCAAACAATAATTTGATTGAAAAGCCCAAGGAGAATGCAAAGCGGCTAAAAGATCGCGGAAGTTTCTGCTTGGTTTAGCGCGACAGCACGCACATCAATGCACATACATACATACATATGTATGTATGTTTATAGGTTCGCTTGCATCGATGTTGCTTTGTTTATACATACATATTTAGTACATATTTATGTATCTCTGCATCACCTGCCATCCAAAATATATCTAAACAGCAACATTGCTTCGCAAAGAGACCGCACCGCGTAAACATCAAATGGAGGCGTAACAATGCGAAAAAAGCGCAACTCCGCGGGCTTTCAACTGAAAAAGTGTGTAGAAAGAAAAAATTTCTGCAAAAAAAAAATAAAAATAATAATAAAAAACCCCACAAAAGCAGCTGCTAATGGCATGCTCGTGAGTATGTTTGTATGTATGTGCAATATTTTGTAGTTGTGGTTGGAACTTTGCTTTTGAATTTTTCCATTGTTATTGCAGTTGTGCAGCGTTTTTGAAGCCTCTAGAATGCAGCAGCTTAGTAACTCAAATACACCCATGCAATATGTTATGCAATGATAAGGAAGACGGTGGCATTTGTATTGTTGTTTTAAATTTTTTTTTTTTTTTAATTTTTAAAAATGTTTTTCTTACCGCTGTGATTGTTGTCGGGTATTGCATTCTTAGTTGCTGACGTTTTTGGCCCCACTACATCAGCAACATATGTATTTTATGCGGAGCGAAAACACACACGCAGGCACTTATGTACATACATACATACATTCATAGCTACCTTAATATAAAACACACTTTTTTCGTCAGGTTGCTATAGAAAACTTGTGCTTCTCTTATCGATAGAAAGAAATGTACAATAAAAACAACACCGAAGACTTTAAAATCTTAGCCAGCCCACTTGTTCACCATCGTGGGTAAAGCCGCAGCACTGTTTATGTTTGCTACCAACAGCTTTTTGCTTGTTTATGACCACTAATTGCAGTTGCTGCTTAAATTTATGCAAACTAAGACATCAACGCAACGCCACTTAGCCTGACCGGCAAGCGATCAAACTCCTGGGTACATACCGCATCCATGCGGTGGGAATGGATAGCTCATTTTTGCCTCAATATTTGCACTTATCGCGATATTAGCAATTCGCGCTGAAAGAGAGTGAAAGTTGTTAAGTTGTGGTCTCTGTTGATGGCTGTAAACGCCCACCATAAGCTCAGCTGCTTTGGCGTTGGTGAGTGGTGAGTGGTGAGTGGTGAGTGGTGAGTGGTGAGCCTAAAGCGATCAGAACATTTGTTCATAGAAAAGAATTTAAATGAAAAAAGAAACAAGGGAAAGAGTTTCCGCAAATGTTGGCAACGATTTTCCAATAATTAGAGCTGCATATACCTACATACATACATATGTATGCACTTATATATGTATGTATGTATGTACTTTTAGGCTTTGTCAGGTAAATTTTTCTTGGGAAAAATCAAGTCATTAATGGCCTAGGGCGTATTTAGTGCCTTGAGAAAAAATTATAGAACAACGTGTCTTGGAGCAAAGATATGCCGATGAAAAGTGTTATTAATTAAAACCTAACGGAAAATATTAAAATATCAGCTCTACTCGTTTATTAGCTTAATTAATATTAATGATTTTAATAAAAAGCGATGTATTTTAAGCTTTGTTCTCACAATGCTTGATGTAAAATATTTACTATGTACATTTGTATGTATGTATGTAACTGTCTATGTATATGTATATTAGGCATATGTACGGTGACCATCCGTCCTGTATTATACGGGACAGTACTCTTTTTTGACCCATTGTCCTGGTAATTTATTTATTTTATACGGGACGCCAAATGTTCTGTATTTCTTTTAATTTCCTGTATTTGTCACGTATTCGGTGTTCCGACGCCTTAACAGCTCATTAAAATGGCATGCCTATGAACAAGTTTTAAGTGATGTTGGTATATAACCGTAATTTTCTTTATAAACGGTTATTACTTTCTAATATGAATGCCTGTGATTCGAATCGAATATATACAGTGGCCAAAATAGAACTTAGGACACGATATTTTAGTAAGTTTTGGCCATTTTTCCTTAGTTTATTTAATGTTTATTATTTATTTTATGAAAGTAAGGCTCTTTTCCTAACAAAAACCATATAAATAATACCAAATTACCAAACTTTGTGCAAAAAACTATAAAAATTAATTCGGCAATGTTTCACCAAAATTTCAAAATTTTTAATTCGAATTTTTTAGAAAAAAAAATCGGTTTGAAGTTTTGTAACTCATTAAAATTTTAAATTGAGTACAATAAAGTGCGAGTGGAAGGTGCTGCTCATTTGCTTCTCTTTCAAAGAAACAAAAAAAAAAAATCCAAAAATGAGTGGTAGGTCCGACTTAAAATTGCACTTTATTATACTAAAAATTAACAAATTATTTTAACAAATTTTACGGTGTAAAATACGGCCGTGAAAATTATCCTACAAATTTGTGATGTTACTATAAGGATACTGTTTCAGGGAAAACAGGGTCGAAAAAATTTCCAAAATAATTTTTTGTCCCGTATTCGACTCACATAAATATGGTCACCGTAGGCATATGCGTACGTAAGAGGAGAGGATGAGGAATGATAATAGAAATACAATTTTTGTCACAAAATTTTCCCACAGGCAACTTCGAGAACAAAAATTTGTACTGGAAAATTCCATGTCAATCGAATTATAACTGCAATCAAAAATTGTTTTCTAAAGCTTTTTTCCGTTGACTTAGATCCATGTATGTATGTATGTATATATATGCCTCTTCACATGCCACATAAAAAATCATATTTGTACTACTAGGGTGGGTCAATTGTTCTTTACTAAATCTCGTCTGATTCTGCACATTAATTTTAAGCGAAAATATAGAATAAACCATGGGCCAGAAATGAGTTTCGAGCCTGCGCATTTTTAAATGAAAAAGTTACCTTTTCACGATATTGTTATTAATTTTGGAATTTTTTTTGCAAAAAGTGCTCAATTTCTCAATATAAAAAAATCGCCTTGTAAATGGAAGAAAAAGCCCAACACGGTCTGAGAAAAATTGGCAAAATCAACGGTAAGTCCTAGCTAACTGCACTTTATTCTAATAAAGATGATTGGACTACAAAGCTGTATACTCAATATCTTTCTAAGACATCAAACTAAAATTGTTATCATTAATCAGTTGAAAAATAAAAATAAAAAGATAAAAAGAAGCTATAATTTTTTCCAATGGAAACTTTTACTTCATACATAGTTACTGTGCACAACTTTAAATATTTTTTAATATTTCTATAAAGATTATATAATTTTTATAATTTTTATTGAAAACGAAAGCATTTAATCCATATTTTACAACACAAGAACATCTTTCTGGAAAATTAAGTGTGGCTAAAATTCATCTTTGAGGGCACATAGTTAAAATATAGTCACATTCATTCAAATGATAGTTGCATAGAACTAAGAAATCGTTTGGTATTTTTTTTATGAATTTCATACATTAATTATCGTTCTATGTTAATATTCAAATAGCTTTTGCTGTTGCACGGCATAGTTAGAATGAATTCAACATTGATCACATTATTTAGTAAAATGTCCAACCAGTTAAAATGGAATGGCCCTTTATAGTTTTGCGGGTATATTTGCCTTCATAATTTGTGGACGTTACTTAAAACGGAAGCGATATCGAGATGGTACAATCTACAATAATACTTTGAAGAGAAATTAACAAATGTAACACATTTTTTTCGTTTTTCGGTTGTCTATTTCTCAGATTTGCCCATATTCGAATATCCGGATTATCCGAATACCCAAAAAATCTAGATAGAACTCCCAGCCCTAGTATGTACGATTCGTAAATTAATCATTGTGTTTTATAACTATTATGGTAAAACTAGGTATAGTATGCGAATGCCAAACTTTAAAGCACTGCGTCAGTAGTATTTAAACTGTCCCTTCAGGTATCACTTCATAAGTGTTTCTATCCAATAATGGTCAATTCAAAAACTATAACTCCTTTATAGTCCTAAACTTTTCACAACTAGAGAATCGTGCCAGATGGCCAAGAAAAAGTCCTACTGCGTTAGTCATCCCCAATGTGTATTCACTGAACTTTTTCAGATTCGTTACAGTCCTTCAAAAGTCGAAAGACAAATGGCCTGCTGCCAAAACCGCAAAAAGTGATCGCATCGAAAGATACTCAGGCCAATGCGGAATACCAAACGCACTGAGTCACGTGACCATTACAAAAGAAAGCAACTGGTTTATGGAAATGTGCGGCATGGCATGCATATGTACATCCATATGTATGTATGTAAGTTTATGCAGCGTGAAGAACGCAAATATCATGAGCATATGTATGCCTCAAGGCAATGACTTGGTTGGGCATCTTAACCAAGTAATGACACACTCGCCAAGAACGCGACAGCAGAGGATTGAAAGTTAATTGTTAAAGTTGCAATAATTATTTCATTAAATTCAAATTTAACTCATAGAAAATGTTAAACAAAAGGGTGAATGTTGATTGAATTAAAATTTTTTCTTTGATTAATTTACAGATCGCCAGTTAATTGAGGGCTGAAGAAAAAAATAAAGGCTTTACGATAGCCAACTATCAATCAACCGCCCACACTAATTAATTTGACATATAAGTCTGAACAGAATTCCAAGTAATCAAGTCCAACAGCTGCCACGGAAACGGCACAGCACATCAGGCTTTACTCTCAAAAATAGTAGGAGGCAAAAACTAAACGTACAGCACACATACCCACACAAAATGCAGTGCGGCCTAGAGCAAATGAACGACTGCGAACGCTCGCCGAACCGGACCAATCTCCGCGTCAACTTCAACGAGAAGGGTGCTGAGGTGAAGGAGCGACGCGAAAAGTTCCTCACCGCCAAATATGGTTCACATCAGATGAGCCTGATACGTAAACGCTTGGCGGTTGAGATGTGGCTGTATGATGAACTGCAGAAACTCTTTGATCCACCGGTAAGTTGGAAGAACGAGATTTGAGAGAAAGAGCGAGTGTGCATTTGGAGATGGCCAGCTCTGATTATGTTGCTGCTAACAACAATTATTATGGTAAATTTTCATGTTTTTTTTTTTTTGTTTTTCTATTCTTGCAGAGTGAGGCTATCGATGTGGATATAGATGAAATATTGGATATGGACACCGACGACATAAGGAGATCCCATTTGATTGTAAGTTAAACAATTTTAGGTAAAGGGGTTTGTTATTTTCTACGCATAATTTTCACCACAAGTGGCTATACTATATAATTATAGATGTACATATTATGTACTTGTACATAGAATTGCCTCAGATTTTTTTTTGCAAAATTCGATATGCAGATCGTATGTATGTATGCATGCAGTTTTATTTTAGCTGTAGTATGTTTGACGATAGCCCCGGCATACTTCAAGTTGAACTTTTGGCTAAGGACTTTTACTTCTGTGATAGCAGAATTCTTTCCTAGTAGTTCTACGTTTTAAGCTTTTGAATATCCTATTGAAAGACACAAATTTTAAAAGGTCAACTTCGGAGCGGCAATTTGTCTTTTAGCAATAAGTTTTCTAAAATATCAAGTAAATAAATCATGAGTAAAAAAATTTAATTGAAACATAAAATTAAATTGATGAAAAGAAAAACTAAATAAAATTAAATGATATTTAGAAAAAAATATATCACTTTTTAAAACAATAGGGGTATTCTCTGAGTCTTGCAAAGCCCTTGCACGGAGCACGGATTGCACGGTTTGCAAAGCTGTCCCATACGAAAACCGGTTTTAACCGTGCAATCCGTGCAATCTGTGCACCATGCAAGGGTTTTGCAAGACTCAGAGAATACCCCTAATAAAATTTTAAATTAAAAAAAATAATCCATTAAAAAAAGGAAAACAAGAATTCAGCTGAAAAAAATACATAAAACAAGTTTCTAAAAATCAAATGAAATTAAAAAATACATATAATAAAATGTAAAAATTAAAAGAATAGTAATTTAAAAAAATAAAAAAAGGGAATCACGAAAAAGGAAAAAATCCCGCTGTCCTAGGATTCGAACCTCGGATCTCTCGAATGGCATGCCAGTGCTTTGCTCACCCGGCTATTGCCTCTGTTGGAGCAGCGCAAGCAAAATGTTATACATACATACATCTGCATTTGAAACAAGCTCAAGTGCTTTTTGTATCAAAATATCTTTTCACCATAGAAGTTGGCAAGAGAGCTTTTTTGTGTAAGACTTTCGTGCCAGAATAAACTAAATCTTTTAAACCATCTTGCCTACTGTCGTTCAATTCTCTTACAAACAATTTTCAACTGTCTTAGCCAGAATTTCCCTGCAGGCCCGTCTAGAGGGGAGGGGATCGATGGTGTTTTTCCCGAACCCGGTTTTTTAAAGAGGCCCGGATTTCTCTGAAAATTAAGTTGGAAAATAAAAATTCTAACATTTTTTATAGTTGATAAATTTTATTATTCAATATTCATATAAAAAGTTACATTATAAATTTCAGAACGCACACTAAAACACGAAAAACTATTTTACGCATTCAATTGATCTGTACCGAAAAAACAATTCTCTCTTTAGACGAAGTTTTTTAACGAAAAAATCATACTCCACATACTACGCAAATAGCACGGAACAAGTATGGAGTAGAAATCGTTAGAGATTCGTTAAAAAATTGAAAATTAATCTGTAGTGGGGCGGGCACATTTTTACTTACCCCCCCGAGGCCCTGTTGTCTATTATCTGAATGTTGATGAATTTAATTTTCCTTTAATTATAAGATTTCATTTTCTTACAGAGAAAAATATATATTTTTTACTTTAATTTAATTTTTAGAATCTTCTTTTATTTATTTTTTATGACATTTTTGCTTTGAAAAGAAAAATAATTTTTTTTTTAATTTCATAAAGTTTTTAGAAACGTTTTATTTTTTGATTAAATATTTTTTATTTTTTGCCATTTAACCAACAAGAGTTGGTTTTAGATTTTATTGTTTTGAAAAGAAAAATATATTTTCTTTTATTTCATTTAATTTTTGGCATCTTCATATTATTTTTGTTAATCTTATTTCTCTCTTTTTCAAATTTTATTTATAGAAGTGGTTCCAAAAATTATATTCTCTTTATTTGATTTGATTTTTAAGTATTAAATTCTTTTTTTATTTAATTTAATTTTCTTTTAACTCGTACTTTTTTTACTTAATTTATCTTTTATCTTTCGAAAAACTGTGATGAGTTGAAAGACATTTGCCAGAATTGCCCTGTAAAGCTGTTTATTAATGCATAAAAATCATATTGCTACTTGAAATGCATATTAAAATTCATTTGTAATGATTACGGCTCGGAATCCCATGCACTAAAAATCAAAAATATGCGCCATAAACAAGTAAAATATGCAATTAAAAATATATTTTTTCACTTACTTAATTTGGTTTTAGTTTATTAGATTCACTTAGTTTACTCATTTATGGTTAATTTTTTTAGTTCTTTAAGCTTTCAATATTTTTAAAAATATTATTGTATTGCCATAAATTTTTTCGTTACAAAATTTACGATATTATGATAATACGATTCATTACAACAGCCTGCGAGTCCCTAAATTTTTAAATATAATTTTCTCTTTTAGCGGCTCCTTTCGGTCTGCAAACGCCCACAGTCGGACATATCGGTAAGCTGTTTATTGTAAACAAATATTTGAAGCTTTAATATTGTATTGACGTTTGTTTTACTCTTCTCTAGAAATTCATAAGTGATTTACTTGATCGTGCAAAGACGCTGTAAATTAGCTGCGCTGGCGCGTTTGTTACTTTAGTTTTTTATGTGTAATTCCACGCAAAAACACGAAAACATAATTCATTTGATATTAGCGTTTAGCTCTCTACAAGTATATCATATTTTTTAAATTAATTGATCTTATTTGATTTTATTTTCTTTATCAGAAAATCAATTTAGTTAATTTACTTTAATTGTATTTAACCTTATTTATTACTAAGCACAAACGATAATTTAAATAAAAAAACTTTTGTATCAAGTCGCATAATATAAATAACACATTAGATTTTAATCGGTTAATTAGTAAACACGAAACAAAGTAAAAGTAAAAACAAAAGTGTAGTATAACCAAAAAATATTTATACAAGCTAAGTCTAATACTAGATTACAGAAATTATAGTCGCATTAAAATTAAGGCAAAGTAAAAGCAAGACAACACAGAACCAGAAGAAATCTCAAACCAAAAGAAATTCGCGAAAAATAAAATAAAAATAAAGAATCAAATAAATAACTTTAATTTGTATGTGAGGCAAAGCTGACGTTGATTATTGTATATGACTGAATTTATACAGTATGGTGGTAGAAATAGGCTCTGAAGTAAAACAAAAAAAAAAAATCTTAATTGTATTCATCAAAAAAGTCATCTCACAAACTTCATACATATTTACATTTAATGCTTAAAATACACTTGTATGTACGCAATTTATTTGCAAGATTAAAATAACAGTCTAGATTAAAAGCACTCAGCTTTGAGAAATAAGAAAGTAACTTACATTTTTGGTCTCTTTTTTAAGCGTGAAATTTTTTAAGTCAAACCCTAACACTTTAATGACAAAGAAAGAGGCATTAAACCCAGTAAAAATAGCGTTATTTTCCCGATGAGCATACTACCAATTTTCCAAAAGTGTGCTTTTAATAAAAAAAAAAAATCAGTTTTTGAACCGATATTATATTATACTGCATTTCGCAGCACTAATCTTTGGACACAAATTGTCCAGCTTTGATGAAATCATTTCGTAGAATTATCAGACAATTACTTTGGAAAACGCTTTTTTATGTTATTGCTAAGCAAGTTTGTGTAATCTATTATATGTAGTATATTGATTTGAATTACAAAATAATTAGTCATTGTAAATCATTTGAATGTCTGTATGGGTGAACGCGATTTTGTAAATTAGAGTTGTTCACCGAATTAAAAGAGAAAGCTCAGGTTCACTGCCAAATGAAGTATTTATGTGTGTATAACACGATGCATGTATGTATGTATAAAGGGTATACAAGTACATATAAAAATGATTATGTACGCGTGTGAAGTAAATAACTTTTATATAAATTGAAGCCAAAACTTATACTTGCTACGAGTACAGCTGTTTTTTTTTTTTTAAATACAAACATTGGTTCGAGGTCTAAAATAATTTATGGTGCTACCAAGCATCTAAAGCGCTATTCAGAGTTTTGTGAAATTAATTTCTTTTTTTGTTCAAAAAATAAAAAATATAATAAAAAGAACTTACCTCATTTCTGATAGTTTTGATCATTCTATGCATATTGTACTACGCTTTGGAGCGACAGCAACGACCTTTTTGAATTAAAAACTAATTAACTTAACAAACAAGCTTTTTCAATATAAATAAATCTCTTCGAATAACTTTTTTTTTAAGTTCTCTTTTTTTAAGTTTTCTTTCGACATTTTACCAAATTTTTATAGACTCGAGTTAGACGCTTTATTTATGCATTTAAATTTAAGATAAATGCTAACGTTCTTTTCGATGGAGCTGATACGAACTTATTTCCGCAAGAACTGACATTTGATGGCGGGCGGAACGATGCATTTCCGGAGGATGTTTAAAATTAGAACAGAGGTTTGAAATAAGATTGAGCCGTGCTGGCGGCAATGACGTTTCTCAAGTAAAAATAAACAAAGCCGATTTCGATTAAAATGTAACATTTTTACTATTTTACTCAAAACTGTACAATGTATGCGTACATATCACTTTATTTGCTTGAAACTAACAATAAATTTTCAGTTTATTTTTTATAAAAGTAAATATACATATAGGTATAAAAATAAAAAAACAACTTCAAGTTGATATCGGTTGGTGATCCGGAAAAAACAGAAATATTATCATTTCGAAATTTGCTATTAATATTGAGAATGGAACTAAAATCCAAAGACAAAAATTTGCAACACCACCGTTACAACGCGAAATAAATAATTACATTACATATTTATGAAATTAATTTTTACTAAAGATTTTGGAACTTTACGAATTAAGAGATCCAATTAAAAATTTTTGATTCTTGGGAAAACGCAATCAATCAAACTTCGTCACACAAAGTGAAAATTTTTGAACTATATATAGCATTTTCAGTTTAAATTAAACTTTTTTCAAATTAAATGTAGCCTTTTTCAGGTCAACCGAAATCTTTTTCAAATTAAATGAAGTCTTTTTCAGGTTAAGCAAAACCTTTTTCAAATTAATTGAAACCTTTTTCAGATGAAGCGAAACCTTTTTCAAATTAAATGAAACTTTTTTCAGATTCAATGAAACTTTATTCAAACCAAATGAAACTTTTTTCAAATTAAATGAAACTTTATTCAAATTAAGTATTAAACTTTTTTAAATTAAGGAACAGGAAATCAACTTAACCTATTAAGAGCGTTTGCACCATGTCTGGCTAACACTAAAGGCTCTGTTATGTATACTTGGCATTGCTTGAGAGTTGTAAGGAATCTGTTAAATGAGCTTCGCGTGTAAGCTGTTACCCAATGCACAGCATTACATACGTAGAAGTCTGTTGGTTTTTGATTTCTACGTAAAAACACGTACGTAACAGAGCCTTAACTCCCAGTTGCACATCGTTATCGATGCCATACTTATATCACGGAGTCGATAACGCCGATTATGAAGTTTAACTGGGAGAATATTGTTACTGTTGCTACACGAATTCAAAGCTGTCAACTATTATTTTCTTAAGGGAGAAGAGGGAAGAAAGTACAAATACTCTCCCTTCTCACTCACTCGCTTAAGCGAAATGTAAAATTTGGCATTTGCATAACAATTGTCTAATTATTTTCTTTTAACTTAAACAAACTCTACGGTTTAGAGCACAGTCTATTCACGGCAACATTCAACTTCGGTTCAAGAATAATTTTGACATGTCCCATTTCTCTTTTCCTTTTCACATCATCCTTTACATGTACTCCCGAAAACAGAGATATTTGAAGTTTTATAAAATTAATAAATTATATGATTTGCCTAGTTACCAAAACCCCTCGAAAATCACAACAAACCAACCAACCTACCAAAGCCTTATTTTAAGAAATGAAACTACCAATTTTGGTCCAATTGGACAGAAACGGCAACACTGTATTCAACATGCCTTGACCGTAAAGGAGAGCAACACGTAACAGCTAATTCAAAGTAATCCAAAAAAGAAGTTTCATTTCATTTGAATAAAATTTCATTTAATTTGAAAAAAGTTTCATTTAATTTGAATAAAGTTTCATTGAATCTGAAAAAGGTTTCATTTAATTTGAATAAAGTTTCATTGAATCTGAAAAAGGTTTCATTTAATTTGAATAAAGTTTCACTGAAACTGAAAAAGGTTTCATTTAATTTGAAAAAGGTTTCGCTTAATTTGAAAATGGTTTCATTTAAACTGAAAATGCTATACATATTGTACGTTTTAAAGATTTAGTTTAAAGCAGCCATGAAATAAAATAAAACTACTAATTATTGATTAGATTAAAATGGTACCATTTTATGGAACACTGTAACAAAGTACCATCGTTGAAAAAAAATACCACTTCTTGTACCAAAGTATCAAGTCTGGCAACCGTGTTTCTGAGGTGGCGTTTAATTTTACTTGAGTAGCGGTGCCACTGATGGCGCCGCCTTTGTTCTCTACATCGTGGGTTTGAATTGTGTGCTATAAAGGGTGTTTCTAAAAGCATTGTTTCGTAGTTTGAAAGATAATATATTTGCTTAATAAATGAAAAAAGAAATGTATCATCAAAGATTTTCTTTAATATGTGTATGTATGCAGCTTGCTAAAATTTTTATAAAAATATTTTCGAGTTTTCTGGTTTTCCATTTTTGAGATCAATAACTCTTCGGCTGACAGAATTTTTGAAAAATCTAATTTGTGTAGTAATTTTCTGATAGAGTTCTGAAAAATGTTTTACAATTTTTAATTAACAGCACCTGTACCATTGTATAGGCTTACAAGTATGGAAAGCGCCATTTTGTTTGTTTACATTTGAAAACAGCTGAGATCACCTGATTTTCAATTCTCTCATTCTCCGCACAGAGTTACATTCAAGTTTCAGAAAAAACTTTAAAATGTAAATTGAGAAATATTTTAGAAAAATGTGTTTTTATTCATTTGAATTCAATAAAAAAGAAATTAAAAATGCGTGCCAAGTCTTGCATTTCCAATAATAACGATAAATGTGTATGTTCCAGGCAATAATTTAAAATATTTGTGAAACTTATCGTTTTGCGCTAAAATACATCAATGTGTGTGAAATTCGTTGTCATTGCTTTTGTTTTGAACATCATATTCGTGCCTGCCGGTGGAAAAATTAGGTAAATTTGCATTTATTTTTAAGAAAACATATAATTTAATATATATTTCTTTCCAGAGCGACATAAGGACAAGTAAGATGATCATCGTTTAAACAAATAGTTTATTTTCTTGTACAAGCAGCCGTGGCCCGAGCAGCGCAAATCGTGGCAGAGAATTATAAGTAATAAGGGAAATAATAGTGCGATAAGAAACTGGAGCTCGGGGAAAACTATAATTTACGTCTCTACGCAGCACGTACGCATGTGTGGGTGCATTTGCGATTGTGGCCTAAGCAGCGGCCCGAAAAACCTTACCAAACCTTTTTTTATTTTACGCTTACATCAACGTTATGCCACAATCACGTGCCGCCGCAGCTGCAGCTACTGGCAGAGGCCCACAGGCACTCGTAAAAATTGGCCACTATTTACTGGACGCAACACAAGGTAGCAGTAAAGATATTGGACCTCATGCATTAAATGTGAGTTTAAGCTCCAATTCGATTTTCAGTACAAATTCTTGAGCTTAAGCTCACCCCTTTAGTGCAAAAATTGAGTCTGACCTTAGACTCATTTTTTATGCATGAGGCCCATTAAATCGCATAAATTGGTTGAAATGGTTGGAAGTGGACCAACAACTTGCTGCCTTCTCGTCAATTTGGTTACGTTGTGTTGACTAACTCCGGAGGCATTATGGATCTTGAGGAGGCCAGACGGTAACATTTGGGAGGCAAAATGCTAGGATTCTTGTTCTAAGCTGGGCACTGGGTATTCACACTTTTGTTAGTGTATTGAAGCTATTGCAGCTGGCAAGAGCAACATGTTTATATTATTTTTTACAAAAATAAAAAGATGAAAGCCACTTAAAGTAATGAGTAAATTTGCGTGGAAGAAAATAAAAAATAAAGAAATTTGTATGATGAATATCGAGGAAAATCGTTTGCATCAAAATTTCTATTCAAATTTTTATTTGAATTATGACATCAACAGGGATGCTTTGAAACGTATCTTTTGAAGAGAAATTTTTATAATTCTTGTGATTATTGATATTTTCTAGAATTAAAAAAGCTAGTTCATATTAAAAAATATATTTAGACCATGATAAAAATATAGTAAGGTAGAACCGCTGAGAGTCACTTTTAAAATTCTTGACGTTTCCAAACAATTTAATTTTTAAATTTACTCACAAACTCACACACACATTTTCATTTTCAATCTCAAGCAACAACAATTTCGAACAATTTCATTTTTTTATTTTCACATTTATATGATTTTAAAATGTTTTCAAACTTCAAAAAAAAAATCATGGCCGACAAATTGAGAGAACGGTTATACCTTGCTATGTTTTTATCATGATTTAG